ATGTTTACATTAAGCCAAGGACTTTTCCAGCTCCTCATACTACCCCTGTGTTTCCAGATTATGCGCTGCAAGAGGCTGGGAGGGGACACAGTCAGGACAGATGACCAAACTGACTAAAGGGATGTTTCATGCCATCACACGTCACGCTCAGTATGTAAGTTGAGGGTAGTTGGATGGGGGGCTCTCTCTCTCTGGGTGCACAGGGACTGGCTGGGCATCAGTTGGCAGGTGGTGAGTGGTGGTATCACTTGGAGTTTTTCTATTGCTGTTTCCCTTCTCATTATGTAGCAGTAGTGTTTTCATTACATAGAATTAGTAGTATTAGTATCATTTTATTTAATTTATTTTCACTTATTAAATTGTTCCTATCTGAACCCACAAGTTTTCTTACCTTTTCCTCTGATTCTCTCCCCATCCCGCTGGGGGAGGCGAGCGAGTGGCTTTTGCTTAGTTAAACCATGACAAGAGGGCAGCACCGACCCACACAAAGCTCCCTGCCCTCTGCTGCTGTCGTCTGGCTTCACCCCATGGTCCCACCGCCTGGCCCCTGGTGCTGGGGGCTCTGCCCAGCCCACCCAGGCAGACCTGGCCCCTGCTCCCAGCCTGGCCTTGAGCCTCTGGGCCACAGGGTCAGGGTGCCTGGACACCCCCAGCTGCAAGCACCCCGCTGGCATTGTCCCTGCTGGGGTGTCCTGGGGCAGCACCTGGGAGTGATGGCTACAAGTGCTGGGGACAAACTCCCTCCTGCTCCACCAGCCATCCTGCATCCCCCGTGGAAACGTCATGGCTGCTGCTGAGCTCCACGGAGGGCAACGGCCCTGTCCCATGTGACCCCAGTGCTCAGGGCCATGTTGGGGGGATGGGGGCCAGCAGCGGGGACAATGCTGGCAGCTCCAAGTGGCCCCAAAGCGGTGCCTGCAGCTGGCAGGGCTGGGGCAGGCCAGGCTGGCAATGGTGCCCCACGTGCTGGGCAGTGCCTGGTGCCTGGGCTCTCAGTCATGCAGGAGAAGAAATGCAGAAGGGGGGTGAGAAAAGCTAACAGGAAACAGGGGACATGGCTGGGGAGGAAAAACACCCAGCTCCAGTGCTGCAGTTGGCCTCCGAGGGCTCCCAGGGCAGCACTGAAACCACAGAGGCCTGCTACACCCCAACGTGGTGGCACAGCACTGTGCCCAGCCGCTGCCCAGCCCCTCGCCTTGCCACCAGCGCTACAGCCATCCTTACTCCCAGGATCCAGGCAGTGAGCAAGGGTGCAGTGTGTGCTGCGGACCCCAGGGGTGCTCGAGCAGCCTGAGACCCCCAGGGAGTGTTTTGGGGCCTCGCTCCCAGCTCTCTGTGTGTCCTTGCCAGCCCTCAGGGCTCCTCTTCTTGTTGCTGCCTCAGTTTCCCCACCTCTCTTCTACTGCCAGGACTTTGGGGAAGGCTTGGTCCCTGGACAGCAAAGTCAGCAAAGCAACAACCAGGCACGTGGCCAGGCCAGGAGAGGGGCAGCTCTGCAGTCGGGACGTGGGAGGCAGCTCTCCGTGCAGATGCAGCGGAGGTGCACGTGCACGCTTCCCCTTTTTGGCAGAAAACATCCAGCCAGGGCAAGTGCCCAGGGCTTGGCAGCACCGAGGAGGTGCTGGTGCCACTTTAGCTGATGGTTTCAAGATGAGTCAGTGGGAGTCAGCCAGGCTGGCATCCTGTTTTCAACCAGGCTGTGGGTGGCAGATGGGTGGCACGTTGAGGAGGCCAGGGGCAGGGCCCTGCCTGCACCTGACCGAGCCCAGGCAGAGCATTCAAACCCCTGGCGCACACACCCAGGC